TCCAAGTCGCCACTGAGAAGACAGAAGACTAGTGATAGAAATTTTGTTCCATTTTCTGATCAATTGAATTGAATTAGGATTTTTTATGTTTTTGATCTGATCTTCATGTCCTACTTTCAGATTACGTTTTAATTGTAGTTCTTTTTATTAATACATCATCATCGTTTGTTTATTTAATGTCACTGTCACCATGTCTAACAGAAATTTGTTATCACTCTTATTGTGATTAATATCGTGCTGTAAAATATGTATACATATTCGCCGAAAATCTGACTTCGCTGAACTAATCTTTCTCATTTTCAATTATTAGTATTATTATTATTATTATTATTATTATTATTATTATTATTGGTTTTATTCAATATTCTATTTTTGGTAGAATATAGAATTTTCAGCTCAAATTATTTCAACAAGTTTCATTTTATTATTTCTTTATTAATCTTGACATGAACTATTGTATGGTCACCAATTAAAATCTAGCAGTTCAGACAATCGACATCTTGGTAATGTACATTCTTTTTCCTGAATATTGCCAGCAACCACAATATCCCTGATTGAACCGTTTGTAACTTGTACAACGAAAGGTTGTACATTATTCAGAAACACAACTGAATAGGTTATGTAATTAACAGCCATAATGATGTATTAAAACAAGAAAACTAGATAGCTAGTTGAAATATCTGGATGACAGGGACAGATAGCCCAGATGTTCAAGCAGGCCACCATAACGTCAAGTTTTAATAATGTGATATTAGCAGACAAATATTAAGTTTTCAATACTTATTATCAAAATATATTAAAACTTACCAGAATAAATCTGTAAGCTATAAAATAATAATACTACTATAACGTAAACTTTCATGTTTTAAGTAAAGATAAGTAATAATGTTTCTTCTACTCTCTTTATATAGTATCTGTCTAGTATAATTTAATTTCAAAAGCTTCTAAACAACAGTTCATGTTTTTACATCAAGTGGTTACATCAAATTTTACGTTTACAATTACAAATGAAAAAGTTCCGTATATAATATTTTACAACTCTATTACTTATTCGTCATTACAAAAACAAACTCTCGCTCTCTCTACAAATTCTCATCGCAAATAATATGTTACCTTAAAACTTTCTTTTCAAGATATATTTTTATAAGTGCTCTTATTAATACATATATGTATAATGAGAAATTCTCTAAAATTGTACATAAGCTATTCAACAAGGCAGTGTAGATTAAAAAAACATACAAATCATCCTGACATAAAATTATACACAAGCATGATAATATTCTCACCTCACCGCCTCTTTCTTGTAAATACTAACTTTAAGCATAAGCAAAAGATTTTTTAACATGGCAACCCTTGAATACGTCCCAACATTGGACCCGAATAGATCACATAGCTATCAGCCACCGATGGAGGGGCTCGATAGTAGACTGTCGCTCATTCTGGAGAACATGCTTAGATTCAGATCATGCTCTAGTGCGAGTACGTATTTGTTAATATCTTGCTGGACGTAGGAAAGACTCTGCAAGAAAACCCCTTAGAGTCCTACAAAATGATAACCAAGATAAGAATATATTTCAGGAACAACTAGAAAAACATTATATGTGAAAATTATATTTGAAATATTCCCAGAGATTGAAATTTAACTAATTTCAACGTTTCGTCCAGCTAACTTGTCTGGACTTCTTCAGGGTAATAATCAAAATCAAAATTATCAAAGAAATATATAGCTTTTAACAATCAGAATTATACTGTGTTAAACCAATCATATATGGATGTTGATTTTTTGTAAAATAGGATAAAATGAGTCAATTAACTACAATTCATGTGAAAAATTCAACTACATGGAAATAATTAACTGAGTAACAAAGCTCACTATGAACGAAGATGATGATTTTCTCACACATGTGGGTATCGTCAACCCTGAATGTGAACGCTTCCGGTTGAAGTCGCTTGCTGAAGACCAATTTAAAGCACTCATTCTCATCTGCAGCCTTCAATCGCAGAAGTTCAGTGACATTAGAACACGTTTGCTTAGTCGATTGGACCAAGACCCAAAACTAACTCTTAATTATATTGCAAATGAATATCAACGTCTAATCAATCTACAGCGTGATACTACAATGGTCCAGCGTGGTGGTTCAGATCGTACCAAAGTTCATGTAGTCCAACAACCACGCAACTCGCATAAATCTGCCCCAGCGACATCTAGTTCAGGTCGACAGACAAAAACAAATCCTCCTGCTCCATGCTGGCACTGCGGTGCATGGCATTTTGTTCGATACTGTCCATATAAGCAACATCGGTGCAGGAAATGTAATGTGGTGGGTCATAAAGATGGCTTTTGTCGAAAAAAGAAGCCGAGCAGCTCCAGAGGTATCAGAAAACCTACGCCTAGATCCAACACGAATTCGTTGAGTCTAATAGCAAGCTGTGAGAACTCAACCCCAGTTGAGAGGAAATTTATTACCCTTTATATTAATGGGCACCCTCTTAGATTGCAAATAGACACTCCATCTGATGTAACAATTCTCTCACGAAAATATTGGATCAGAATGGGAAGACCATGCCTGGTGCCGGTAACACAAAAACCGCGAACCGCATGTGGTGATTATCTACGTTTGTTGGGACAACTAGATTGTAAAGTTTCTTTTCATGATTCGACGTTTACCGGGTTATGTTACATCACACCAGCTGATCTCAACCTACTTGGGTTAGACTGGTTTGACCGTCTACATTTAGCTGACATTCCGTTAAGCACCATATGCCATCAGGTGGAACAACCTCATGAACCTGAAGCATATTCGAAAGAACTAATGACGGACTTTTCAACCATTTTCCAACCTGTATTGGGTCAGTGCACTGCTATGAAAGCAACTGTTCGGTTGAATTCTGGAGCTAAACTCGACTTCCGTCCAAAGAGACCAGTGCCGTACGCAACATTATTGTAAGTTGACGAACAACTTAACCTCCTTCAACTACAGGGAGTTATTACACCTGTTTCTTATTCTGCTTTGGGCAGCAACCATTTCCTTTATTAAGTAGGCTAATGGCACAATCCGAATATGCGCAGATTTTTCCACAGGTCTTAACGCAGCTATCGAACAGCATCAATACCCACTGCCATTCCCTGCAGATTTCTTCACAATGCTAAATGGTGGGGAGTTCTTTTCAAAGATGGATCTCGCTGATGATTATCTACAAGTGGAAGTGGCTGAAGATTCGAGAGAGTTACTTACCATAAATACTCATCGTGGCTTGTTTCAGTACAATCGCCTACCATTTGGTGTTAAAACAGCTCCATCTACTTTTCAGCAACTAATGGACACCATTCTATCGGGTATCCCGGGTGTTGCAACTTATCTCGATGATATCTTAACTGTTGCCACATCGTTAGAACAGCTTAGAGAACGCACGACAGCTGTACTACTGATCGACCATCGTCAGCTAATAGCATTTAATAAATACAACATGGTTAGCATTGATGCCTGGCGTTTACCAAAGTTCCTATTTTAAGGAGTCATTTACCACCACAGCTCAATCCCCCCGAGTGAAACTGTGAGAAAATTTTGACATCACCAGACAGAAGCTTAAACCCAACGACCTAGCCATCATTAGACACTCCTCTGAGAGCAACACATAGTTATCTACACTTAAACCAATAAATTGTATGATGAACAAGAAAAGCTGTCGGGATAAAAACATTACATAGTTCCTTCGTTTTCTGACTCAGTCTCTGTCTCTTCCAGTGAGTTTGTGTTGGGAAAAATTGTGTTAAGACTCTTAATAGACTATTGAACCATGTTCCTCCCATTAAGTTGCATAAATCAATATAATAAACTAAAGGAAACGTTAAAGAAAAGCAAAAGGAAAACACATTTGTTTATTTTTTAAAGCTGGTATTATGTGAATATATAACTTGAATATAGTTTGGACCGTTCTACATTTCTATGGCTTTCGAAACACTAACGTACAACTGAGAACTTTATCGATACATGTTATCTAAATTGAATTACCTTAAAACTCCATCTAACTTAAGTATAGTCAAATCTGAAATTGATATCGAAGTGGATGGTGGCCGCTCGTGATAAACACACCCTTAAGTTATAGTCCCGCTGAAATTAGGCAACTCTTAAAACTGACTGTTAACCAATGAGGACACAGGTCGTCAGAATCAAGAATCTACAGTGGCAAGTAACTTTACAAAATAAACAGCCTTGTCAACATTCGACATTAACTCTGACCTTTTGTTTTTAACTGAAACAAGTAGTTAAAGGAACATAGCCAAATATTGTGGCTAAGACCCTTCTAAACTTCTAGATAGTCACTTCCAAAGTCTCATGTTCAGTAATCCATCCTCACGTCCACATATATTTCGCTCCACTACTATCGTCTATTTCTACAACTGTCTTTGGGATATCATTCTTCAAATATTTGGATGTCTGTAATTCAATAAGTCAATAATAACATCGCTTAACTGAGTTTCTTTCAAATGAAGGAAAAGTAAAGTAACTCCTCACTAGGAGGAATCGTGCCGTGTAATCTAAGTTTAATGTCATATCATTTTACTGCACAGTGCTAAGGATACCTTTTTATTCAGTTCAAAGTTATTTGAATCGTAAACAAAAGAATTTTCTACTGTCCTACAATCATATCTAACGTTGTCATTTGAACTAAGCACGAAAACCTAATAGTTACTATATTTATTCTGATTGACCCGGTAATATAATATAGTCTAACCAGCAAAGGTTCATAGTCACATGATCAAAATCTACAACAGAACAGTTAAATACAAAGGAAATTCAATATTACTATTCGAATTCTCAATTTAGTTAGTACATTCTTTCTGGTTTATTCATACAGTACAAAACTACCTTAAATTCAATTGATCTATTGTAATTACTACACAACTCATTGTTATCTATTCGTACGTATGTAGGTGGGTAAGTGGAAATAATTTTGAAGAACAGAAAACCACAATACAATTTTCTTTTTAATAAGCATAAATATTCAGACTGAAATCATAATATATAATTAAATTAAAGATAAAATCTACCAAAAAGGAAGGCACAAAGGTAAAAATAAATGTAAAAATCCAATTACAATGTAATTGACAAATTAATTCAATAATATTTAGTGATAACACTAAATTTTCGTTATATACTTAGGATAAATTAAAAAATTATCTCATTCATGTAAATATCATTATATTAGTGTCTGTGTTAAAAAAATTCAAAGATGGTTCATGAAAGACTAGGGATAAGCAAAACACGAAGGTACAAGTAAAGGGATGCAAACGGAAAAATGGAGAAATTAAAATAATCTAAAAATGGTGAGTAGGATAGGGGAAATCATTGTTTAACAAAAGGAAAAACAACTCATTAATAGATGATAAGTAAATGAATAACTTATAACAAATAATTACTAAGTTGATTATGAAATTCTGAATTTGTTAAAAAATGCCATCGATGTTGACCTAATGCAGTGCAAATGCAACACTCTGCTATTCTTAATCTAGACGATATCGACTCAGTCATCATTGTACTATACCATGTAGATATTGTAGCTGGAACAGTTAATGGACAAACACCATCTAACTGACAACATTCTTTTTGGATAACTAATTGTAATGGACTATATTTACATTCATTCATAGAATTACAACATTGATTTCTTTGACGACATATTACCAATAAGGTTAAAATATGAACATAAGCACTTGAACCACCAAGAGCTAGTAGATTAAGATGTGGACAGGCTTTAATCAAATCTTGTAGAACATGATCTAATCCATATGAATTATTATCTTTACATGATTCATTCAATTGTTTAATTGAACCAGTTATATTCAATTCAGAAGGTATATTCTGAACAGTGAGAAAAAAACAGACAGAATTATCAAACAAATTATCTTTGATAAGTATCAATAAAATTCTGTAGTTTTACAATTAATTTCTATAAATAATATCACAATAGGTTACTATACTACTATTTATTTTCAGAGGACATAACTTTAAACTAATCAATTTAAAGTGAGTATACATATTTTAACGCATACGGTTTTTAGCTAAACAACTAAAACTGTTACCACTTTTAGAAAAGTTTTGATCAACATTAAATATACGATTAGATTTATAAAGAAAAATTTATACAATAAAACGTGAAATAGCTACCTTAGAAGCATGAAAGTGAAATCAATGTAAACAATTTGAAGTAATCCAGTAGTTATAAGCAGAATTTTAAAAGTTCATTCAAGTCCAAATAAACCAAGAACAACGATTGTAGTAGAAAAATATGAATTTATTTACATCATCGATTCAATTTGACTATGTTATATGTCCATTCAAAAGTAAAGAAGCGGCCTGCTTGACTATCTGAACTATCTATTCCTGTCATCTAAATATTTCAACAAGTTGTTTGTTTTTATTTGTTTTAACAACTTACTATATCTATTAATCGCATAACCTATTCAGGCACGTTTATGAGAACTTTATGAACTTTTGCTGTACAAGTTACAATAAAGTACAATCAGAGACATTGTCATGGCTGAGAATATGCATTGAAAAGAATTGACATTATTCAGATTCCCATTCCTAAAGTGATAATATCTAACTGGCGATTACTCAACATTTAACGTCATGATCGATCAGAAAGTAAGAAAAGGACAATTATTGTATGTATTTTTCGAGTACATTCTACAAAAATTGATACTATAGTCGATGCTATAAAACAATTAGATCCTGTAATATTTTCTTGATAGTCCGTATGACGATGACATTGCAAAACCACCTAAAGTGATCAATAAGCAAATGACTTCAAACGCATTGTATTATAATAAAATCATCGCTATCAAAAAACTCAAACTGAACATATAAATTAAAAAAGGATAATGTTATCAGTGTTGTATTCAATATCTAGTATCCTCAATTTCTAACACTTATTTTAGTAATATCATATTTTGCATGTGCAACTAGAAATTCCTTTTCTACATTCTTTTTACTGTATATTTATCTTAATTAACCTTATTTGTTGTTGTGCAACTTCTAAAATATTCGCATTATTTGACAATTATATGAGCATCTCATACAACTCATTTTTCTTAATAAATTTCATTGATTACAACAAATATAGTATGTACGTTGTTTTGTTTGTCACTGCCCTCAAATGCCCTGGTACGGCCGAGAGTGGGTAGAGTCCGTTCTCCCTCTCAAAATGCTCTTACATGGTCACGCGTATATGGCCTCCGTCAGGGAAGTCCTACTCATTGCCTTCTCGTGGCGGAGGTGTTGTTTACAAAACTGAGAGGACGAAAAGCGAATGTCCGGCGCTCTAATCGAGTTGGTGGATACGGAGAGTTCATCTACGGGAGTTGGAAAACCCTGATTCCGAACCAATGATGCACATGGGCTCCAGGATCCTGAAGGAAAAAATGGCGTATGAACCAATTGTTGGTCACCGGCTACCATGAGTCTGCATCTCTTCACGATGCTCCACTGCCCTGTAGATCAGACCTTTAGATCGAAGGCTCCTGGTGTGGTCCCCTAAGAAAGCCACCTGCTTCGGTTTGAGCACCCGGGCAGCATCGTAGCCCTCGCACAAATCAAATGAGATTTATGTGGCGCATATCTATTTGATGCGTTCTTGTACCAATGTTTGTGTTTAAATAAATAAATTGTTTTTTAATGATTCATACTACTATTTCTAAGTTGTCAACAGTTGAACAAAATTAATGAAATAAATGAATTCATATTACTCTCACTAAAAATTTTTGCAGTAAAAGTATGGTATAGGGATGAGCTTAAGACAATTGTGAAGAATTTACAGATTGTATCCAGACAATTAGAAAAAGGGCTTTTATAAATGGATAGTTTATGGAAAAGAAAACAGTACTATTCTGAATGTAAACAAATTTTATATGGTAAATTTATTGATTTCTTCCACAAGTAATTACTCTGACTGTAAACTGAGATAGAAACTCGTTATAATGGATATAAATTGTACATATTCTCGAACCCTTACAAGGGTCCGAACAAAGTGTCGGGTTGTAATATTGTTCATAGTTAGGATTAGAAGTAGGGATTTATGGTTACAGTTTCCATTCCGAACGGACATCAGCTATGATGTACAAATACTCCGAATCCATGTAGATGGATAAATTTCACTCACAAACATAATATACGCTATCTGATTGATTATTGTACCCATAAAGTGTAGTGCCACTAAATTAAGGTTTGTTTCAGGCTTAAAGGTTTAAGACGTAGGGATATTTTCAATCTCCGTGATATATATAATCTAAGAATTAAGCATTTAATAAGTTTGACATTATCATTTTTATTTTATGGTTCCTAAAAATAATTTTTCATTATCATTTTAAACGTTGTGAGTAGTATACAGGAGTATTTCTACTGCATGTTATACATAATATTTGAATTTCACTTAAATCCCTAATAGTCGCGTTTTTTTATTCCGAGGATAATATGGCACAAAAACTTTCAGCAACATTATTGTGTGAATTTGAATCGTTAGTGTAGTATTTACCAGAAATTTGATTATTAAATACCTCTAAATCTTTACTGCATTTCACAAAATGAAATACAATAGGTTGGAAACACTTTTGCTATCAGAATCTTACTATGATTTATTCATAGAAGTATATCTAGTTTACTATGAACATGATCTAAATTAATTTTCTTGATAAAGTTGGTCCGATTTATTCTGAACATGACAACTTACTTTCGACTTCTTATCAATACCATTTCATTTGACGTAAATTACTCTCACCAAATAAAATTCAACGTTATTAATAGTACTGACTCACATCGTTTGCTTGACTTCAAGTGACACTATCGATCTATTCAAAGACGTAGATGTGGTGGGGTAATAAAATATAATCTAGTGATCAAAAACCATATTTTAATTAACAAGCCATTATTTCACCCATACTATTATTTAGTCAAATTATAAAAATACAAATAATGAGTGTTCGGATAAATCATTAAAGAATAAAAATTGCATACTTCCAATAATATTATCAATGATGTAAGTGATTGTGAATAAGATATAGGATTGATTGTATTTTGTGGACTTAGTAAACCAGCCATAAATGCAGGTTCTCCAGTTAGAATCAATGTGATTGAAGTGACCGGTGCAGGAGGAACAGGCCAATAAGATAGTAAATTATGAATTGAATTGAATTTATCAGATGATGAAGGACTTTTCCACCGTAAACAAGTTAAATCTTCAACTAACTCCAACTTTAAATGAATGGTAAGATGTGGACATAGAATAAGAGCAGCACGCCACACGTTTGAAGGTATCGGTTTCCAACCAGATGTTGTATCTTGATTAGTTCCATATCTTCGAATACGTGGAACATCTTCAGTCCAATCAATCAAATCCAGCATACTTGAATCACTAGGATCAAAACTTTGATCTTCATTAAATCCCATATATAAATCATCAGAATCATATGAAATAGTTCGTTGAACAGGAGGATTTTCAGAACGAGGTATGGTAAATACAGTCAAATCAGTCTTTAAAAAATGAAATAAAATGAAAAACTGCTGTTAATCAACACTCCGTAAGTTGGCATTAAAAATGGTCTAAAATAATGGCTAATGAAGTCATTAAGAAACTTATTCCAAACATTAATTTCATTAAAAAATAGAAGACTTACAGAAGAGATTAAAAGTAATGACACAAGAAACGAATTACAGTTATTATAGAATCCCATAAATGTTTACGTAAAGATCAAATTATAAAACAATTTTTATTCATTACGAACTCTCAAAAGCTAAATATTAGCATTAACATACGTCGATTTATTTGACCATACGTCACAACGACAAGTAGACGTTCGTAGAAATACTGACTGTCTTTATTCGGATATTTTTTAAAACCGAAAACAATATTAGGTTAGTTAATAACACTGAAAAGAAAAATAGTCAATTTGAATCAGCGAATTAGTTGAACGACTGTACCACCATCGATTAAAGTGCACAAGTATTGTCATTACGAGAACATTCTTAGATTATGGTACTATCTTTTTTCCCTTACCGTAAAATCTTATATTTAGTCATCACTGGTTTACACAAATACGTGAGAAATCCAGTTACAAAAAGACATTTGATATGAATTTAACGATATCCTTTCTTAACTATGATCCTCCCCTGACTGATACTTCAATCTAATACCTACTGCACTATAGATACCTTAAATATATCGAAAGTCATAGGGATTTGAATTAAAAGACCTAGTCTTTGTGTTCAGCAAACATTTTTAACATTTCTGTCCTATCCTTCACCAGAAAACATTCAACGGACGATGTTACTGATCTTTTTATACTCTAATTTTTCATTTAACTTCACTAGGTGCATTATTAAACTGACTATTCACATATTTAAATAAAATGTGAAAGACAATATTTACAAAATAAAATGAAGCCATGATATTTCGAGTCTTCATATTAGTTGCCTAAATGGGCTAAACCTATAATTAAACATAATATTATAAATCAAGTATAGTCAATGAAGTCAATTTCGGAATAACACAGAAAAACATTAGAAACAAGAGAAACAAAACATTTAACATCGTTCTTACAACTATGTTGTATTTATATATTAAAAACGAAGTCATATAAATCAGTTTGTGATGTTATAAATAATAATTAATAGACAAACTAAGTTTTTTTGACAAATAAGAAGCTATATAATCAACCCATCTAGTTTGTATAAAATTAAAATTAACGATGTGTCAGAGGAATATAAAATTAAGAGATTACGTAACAGATAGTTTATGGCAGTGAAACATGGTCGGTAAGAATAGAGGATATTCGTAGGTTACTAGTATTCGATCATAGATGTCTTCGAAGCATTGCTCGTATACCATGGGACCACCACCGAGTAAGCAATGCAGTTGTTAAGAAATGGTATTAGGTAAGGATGGCAAATCTATTTATCCACTAGTGAAACCTCATCAGTTGAGATAACCGGGATACGTATTACGTATGCTCAACCACCGACTAATCCGACGTGCGATGTTTTATGATGTAGGAGTAGGTTGGAAGAAAGCTAAGGGCGACCAGACCAAAACATGGCACAAATCCATGAAGTCACAGACACGTGGACTCAGTCATGCTGGTAGATGTAAACTACCTGGTTGGGATTCGCGAGACGATAGCAACCGATGATTAGAGACCTAGAACGACAGGGCTCAAAATCGTTTGAATGGTGTGAGCAGGTGCATCCACTCTTTGTGTTCTCCCAAATTCTGATCTTCTGAATTCGTCATGTTCCTTTTTTTCTCTTCCAAAATTTATTGCATTGGATTATACTCCTCGAATAACATAATCAAACACTAATCTTTCCGATTACTGATTACACTTTTACTACCTCTACCACTATGGGATTTGAATCGACAATTGTATCTGTGTGATAATGTGGTATGGTAACTTGAGCTGACGTACGTACGTACGTACGAAGTTCTACGTTGCTACTGACTGACTGACTAACGTAAAAGATAGACCTTATATTGCCATGATTATTTTACCATGGTTATAAGAAGTTTACCACACTTTTTCTAAAACCAAAGTTCAGGTTGTGATTGCTTGATGACAATGACCTCCCCAAAGAGGATTAAAAACGGTATTTATTGTTTGTTAATTAATTTAAACGCCATGGTGATATCCACGTTATGTTCATTATCCATTAAGCATTAGGCAATTTTAAACATTTTGCTTCCTTTCAAATACAGCGTTCGTGGATATATTCAGAAATTCTTGTGGACGCCCTTCTTTCAGTCCTTCCTAATTATTTGCCACTGTAAGTGCATGTAAATTCACAAACAAATGTGGAAGTGACCTCAAAAGGATATTGATCTACTTTTGATTGATTCAATAAAGATTTGGTGTTAGATACTGAATAAAGTTGGGCTCCAGGGAAGCTCCTTTTTAGATTTTACCAATTTATGATTTTATGCAAAATAACATGGGGCCTTTGTAAAATATGAGAATTGCACATTAAATACATCACTTGCACACCGTCCTTCAGTTGTTCTTTATGTGCTCCATCATTCTTCCAATCCCGTTGTTATTCCGATAGCCCTGCTTTCTTTCTTCTCTTTATTACAATCTTCCGCTGGTAAGCACTCCACTTATAATTCCTGCTACATACTACTTATGTCTATCCGCACAAGTAGAGCAAACCACAATGTTAGTACACTAAAAGACTTCGACTCACAAAGATAAGCGAATCAATGAGTTACATTATTGCTTCTTCCTGACAAAGACAGGTAAAGACAAGCTTTCTCGTAACAATTAGTTTTTGAACCTATCTGTAAACATTCTTCTATACTTCGCACATTTCATATTAAGTAATCTTGAATAAATATCAATTTAAAAGGTTTGTTTCACCAAGCTTTGACGATATATTTGTTCGTGCTATCATGTTGCTTATTATTCTGATATTTACTACTATGCCTGTCACCTTACAATTTGTACTTTTCACTTATATATAATTAGTTGTGTAATCCTTCTTTATTATTAGCACTGAACCACACATTTGGCATTTGTCGGCAAAGTCTACCTGTGATCTTGAAAGAATCGCTTCTACTGACGTATTGGATCCCGCAACACCCAGCCTCACAATCTAAGACGATACTGCGCAGCTATTCGGGTCACGACCGAGATGAGTCGCTTAGACTAGTGACATCCCAACTTGGTCGACAGAATCCAATCACAATTAAAACGACTAAACAAGTATGACACTGATCACTACTTAATAATCAGTCAACTGTAAATATGTTGCTTTACTCTCCATTGTCTGAATTTTTAACATTCTAGGAAGAATTAGCGAAATTAACACATTAACAGAAAACATCTCAAATATAACAAGTAAACTAAAAATAGTTGATAATTGATCCCAAATAAAATAAAAGCATTATGAACTAATAGTAACGAACTTGAATTAAAGATAATTGATGTAACGAAGTTTGATATAAAAGTCGAAGAAGCATTGAACCGGTTAACTGAGTTGGACTCAAAGTAAGACGTATAATTTTAGGGAAAAGACTAGACAAATCACACAAAGGATTATCGCTGGTCCGTTGAGATCGAGCACTAAGCCAACGAGGATCCAAAAGGTACCAATCTTCATTGAAACATTGGTGGCTATTGTTATTTGAAACATTGTTAGTAGTCTGATGTTTATCAGAGACCAAATTTGCAAAACCTGGGATGTACTCACGATGATGTGCGGTTATTGGATTGACAGATGACTTATGGAAGTGAACAAGATTGAGATCATTTAGACAATGTGAAGCAACCTGAATAATGGAAAAAAGTCATACAACCATATTTAATAAGTGATTAACCAATAAGAAATATAAACTAAACTTCAAGTTTAATAAATGACGAAATTAAGGTATAAAAAACTGTATATTTTCGTATAATTGATGTTACTAAATAATTGAGTTAATATGTGTTGTAAATATCGGAAAAATGAAAAGACCTTGCAGTCCTCTGAAAACTTTTAACAGTGAATGAAGCTGGGGCAGAAATATCAGCATACTGTTGTGAACAAAATGAGAGTAGGGTAGATGGAATTCCCCGTGAGATAAAATAAAAACTCCACCTGTAGCTCTTCTAGAGTTACTGCCGGTCCCAAGCCCGGGTAAAGGAGGAGGGTTGGACATAGAGTCGGCAACCCCATCCCGTAGAAAACTAACTCTCTAAAAAAACGCTTACCAGAAAAAATAATTTAAACCATTTAAACTCTGCCCTGAGAGTTAGAAGGTCTTCATTTGGAAGAACTATGACGCCTCATGGTGAAAGCTCAGTTCCTTCGGAAGCCACGATACCAATGCCCCTTTTAACAACCAGAACAATTTTTATAGGTACATGGAACATCCGGACAATGTGGGAGACCGGGAAAACCAATCAAATAGCAACGGAAATGAGGAGATATAACTTGGCAGTACTGGGAATCAGCGAAACCCACTGGACCCAAGCTGGACAACAAAGGCTATATACAAAAGAGATGCTGATATACTCCGGCCATGAAGAGGAAAATGCTCCACACACTAAGGGAGTTGCTCTAATGCTGTTCAAAGTAGCACTTGTAGGATGGGAACCTTACAGATCCAGAATCATCAAAGCATCATTCAAAACAAAGAAGGAGGGGATCTTAATGAATATTATCCAATGTTATGCACACACCAATGATAGCAACGACGACATTAAAGATCAATTCTACGAGCGGCTGCAGTCAATCATAGAGAAATACCCAAAAAAGGACATCACCATTCTAATGAGAGATCTAAATACCAAAGTTGGAATAGACAACACCGGATATGAAGATATTATGGAACGACAAGAACTGGGACAGAGAAACGAAAATGGAGAAAGGTTTGCAAATCTGTGTGCATTCAACAAATTTGTCATAGGAGGCACAATATTTCCACACAAGCGTATACACAAGGCTACATGGATCTCACCGGACCACACTACAAAGAACCAGATAGATAATATTTGCATCAACAAAAAATTCCGAAGGACAATGGAAGATGTGAGAACCAAGTGAGGAGCTGACATAGCTTCAGATTACCACCTAGTTGAAGCCAATTTAAAACTGAAGCTAAAAAAGAACTGAACAACTGGACAAACAGTAGGACAAAGGTTCAATACAGCCTTCCTTCGACATACTGACAGACTCAATGAATTCAAGATAGCTTTCAACAACAGTTTCCAAGCCTTACAAGATCTGCTGAAGGAAGAAGAAACTACTATGGATGAAAACTACAGAGGCATCACACTACTATCGGTACCAGGGAAAGTCTTTAACACAGTGTTGCTGAACCAGATGAAAGATGCAGTAAACGCCCAACTTCGAGATCAACAAGCTGGATTCCGTAAGGATCGACCATGCACAGACCAAACTGCGACAATACGGATCATCGTCGAACAGTCAATTGAGTAGAACTCGTCACTATACATCAACTTCATTGATTATGAAAAAGCATTTGACAGTGTAGATAGGAACGTTATGGAAACTTCTTCGACACTATGGGGTTCCTGAGAAGATTGTCAGCATTATCCGGAACTCATACGATGGAGTACAATGCATAGTTGTGCTTGAAGGATAGCTGACAGATGCATTCCAAGTAAGGACCGGAGTCAGACAAGACTGTCTACTCTCTCTCTTCCTCTTTCTTCTGGTGGTCGACTGAATTATGAAGACCTCGACATCTGAGGGAAAACACGGCATACAATGGACAGCTCAGAATCAATTAGACGATTTGGACGTCGCAGATGACCTAGCCCTCCTATCTCATACACACGAACGAATGCAGACAAAGACAGCCAGTATAGCAGTAGTCTCTGCATCAGTAGGTTTCAACATACACAAGGGGAAAACCAAGGTCCTCAAATACAACACGGGGAACAGCAATCTAATCACTCTTGATGGCGAAACTCTGGAAGATGTAGAATCCTTCACATGGATGGAGAATGCTGGTGAACGGCCTATGTTCCTTTAAGAGGAGTAACAGGCGTAAGTAAGTAGGTTAGTACTTGGAACTTTTTAGTGAGAGTTTTTTGTTACTGTAGCAGTGCCAATAATGATGTAGAAGACGTTAACAAGTTGATTACACGTGGCAAAGTTTAATTAAAATGGTACTCATAGATATATATTCGGTGTACGACATTGGATAAAGAAACAATCAAACATCGCTAATTAATTCGTACATGACAGTCTGAATGTTTTGAAGGACTTCAAAAGAACTCAACCTACGATAATGTGTTATTAGGTTACATCACTTTTGCAATTTCTATCCACTTCAAATACCAAATGACGCATTTTAACACCGCTCATTCGATGAAACAATAAATTCCCTGATCATCAAAACCCTTGATATATTATTCACCTTACGTCGTAATGGAAAATTGAAATATCTAGTGAACGAGATGATTTTCGAAACACTAGTTCCGTCTATATGCTATAATAGTAGGATGGAAAAGCATGAAGGATGACACCCAGTTATCCAGTCTTATATTGTTTAGGTAGTGGCGAAAATTACAGACTTGTTTGTTAAAATGCACAGATGGTATCGAAATTCACACTAGGAACTGTGTTATATGCTTCATACCTAAATAGAGAGAAGCACTTGGAGATTTTGCGTTATTTTTGTATTTATCTAATTACAGTTCGCTATGAGAGCGCTGATCGGTAAGGTTTGATCACAAACAAGGTCATTGCAGCTATCCACTAATCTACCTTTAGGATTTTTACTCGAAATGACACAGAATTAAACAGAATCATTGAAACCTATTGTTGGAATGTTACAAATGTTCCCAATATTAACAGATATTTTGCTAACTAGTTAGCATAACACAAAAGAGAAAAATGAAGGTAGTACATTGTTTCCCGAAAAAAGGAACAATGAAAACCTTACCACTACATTAAACCAAAATATTTCATTTAACCTATCATTAGGCACTGATTTTCAGAAAAATATAAATTGGATTTTCGTACATGATAATGATGAATGGGTGATGGGGTTATTGACCGAATCTTGTCACTATTACTATAGTTGAAAGGCTTGGTATGATGACACGTGGGTCATACTTCGTCTGGCTCTCTCGACTTTGTACTATTTTGGTTTCCAATACAAAATACCACGAACCCAAGAGCTTTTGACTATATGTACTGTGTTTTTATCACAACATTCGCACGAAATTTTCTATAGTGAAACAAAACTTGTTTACACGTACAGTAACTAAATCCGAATCCTACAGACCAACAAAACAGTACAATGTAATGTTTATGGCTGATAAAACGAAATGTTTTTGACCAAGATATAGACATTTTACAAATCAATTCAGAAAATTTCAAGGCACGTGAGAAGTAATTTAAGTTATAATTCACACTTACATCACTTATTTCACAGACTAACTGTCTGGCGTCATCGGAAACAAGAAAAAGATCCACTAGGTGGAGACGATGAAGCTCACTTAACTGACGTACCACTCGGCTAATCGTTCTCAGTAATGCACCTCCGGTTCCATAAACAAGACCACGCAAATCATCGACTTCAGAATTAAAATCCAATTCAAAAGAATGAACAATAGGTGGGTGGTGAAAGGGTGAGAAATTTGACACAGATGAGGGATACTGAGAGCTTTTACTGCGTTTGAAGCTGCTACAATCATAACGATGAGATGGAGGATAGCTAATGGAAGACATTCTATGCGATTGAAATTGCTCTAAATCATTGAATAAATCAGCTTGCTAATAAAAACAATGAAATTCAAGTTTAGCAAAACTTAAAAGTCATACACAACGAAATAAACTAGACCAATAATATTATATAATTCTAAATGATATAATAATATAGATATAGTTAGGAAAGGCTACATCATGTATTTGAATGAAACTCTTAGGAAGAAGCCAAAAAATGTAACTCAATAATTTAGTTATATCTGTTATTATTATTTTATTTGAAAACATAGATATTGGTACAAGGGGGCACCAGATACATGGGTGAGGGCTACGATGCTGCCCGGGTGCTCAAACCGAAGCAGGTGGCTTTCTTAGGGGACCACACCAGGAGCCTTCGATCTAAAGGTCTGATCTACAGGGCAGTGGAGCATCGTGAAGAGATGCAGACTCATGGTAGCCGGTGACCAACAATTGGTTCATACGCCATTTTTTCCTTCAGGATCCTGGAGCCCATGTGCATCATTGGTTCGGAATCAGGGTTTTCCAACTCCCGTAGATGAACTCTCCGTATCCACCAACTCGATTAGAGCGCCGGACATTCGCTTTTCGTCCTCTCAGTTTTGTAAACAACACCTCCGCCACGAGAAGGCAATGAGTAGGACTTCCCTGACGGAGGCCATATACGCGTGACCATGTAAGAGCATTTTGAGAGGGAGAACGGACTCTACCCACTCTCGGCCGTACCAGGGCATTTGGGGGAAATATCTGTTGATACCGTAAATTACAGACATACATTGGATTAGTAATTAATTAATACCAACTATATCAGTTCGATACACCTAAATTCATTTATCGACCGGATATTCAAATTGATATGTACCTTATTCTAATTTTTGATATCGTTTTGGTCAGTTGTGAATCGTGTTAGCGGGACATAGACTGGATTAAAGCATCCTCAATGCACGATCGCTTTGGTGCACGCTGATTGGCTAATCGGCGTTAGTCAACACTAGGAATCTCATGTGAAAAACTATAAATATACTATCATTTTTCCTATCGTACTTACTTGCTTCTTACTTCCATCTAACCTCGTTATTTGGAATATAATCTCTTTTATGTCCAACCATGTTCTGATTGGTCGAATCATAGCTTACGAAAAACGGTCTCAGAGATCTGTCTCCAACCGGGAAACTCATTCATCGGTTTATAGTAAGCATATGACAACTTCCCCAGAGGATCCTTACAAAATGTTGAGTCGTCTGAACAACTTGAATCCAAGAATGCTTGCAATGTATCCCTCCCCCTATAAATGGTGTATGCTGGCTTACGACTTTCAAACGATCGTCTTTGGTCTAACTAAAGAAAGTGAAGGGATTATGCATATTGACCAGTCTACTAGTTTCAGAAGTCTTATCAGTCTTGGTAGGTATTCAGCTGACGAAATCTTGGCATAAATACAGGAAACTCAGTTAGTACTTTTGAACCTGAGCCATCCAAACATGACAAATAAATAAAAGCTCCAGAGTATGCTTCCAAATAAATAAGAGTGAGTGTTGTACACTGTAATTTAAGGTTTTGTAGGACAATGGACATGCTGATGTTAATATACCCTGGTTATTTTTTGTGCTACAATTCATTAACGTGGAAAGTTACAAATCTTCATTAAATATGATAAACAGCTTTGTAGAGTTTTGTTTAACCCCCACCATTAAAACTGAAAACATTTGTTGAAATTTCTACTTTAAAGATATCCTATTAAACTGAACAATGAAAATGATCAATAAATATATAATGAAACTGGGTACTTAAAGTAGTGAAATGCTTACACTATTTTCAGAGGATAAATCAGATGAAAAGTCCTGAATTTCATGCTCTTGCAGCTCAAATATTAACCTGAGAGTAGCTTCGGCATCTGGATCACCTTCAATAATGAAACCAGTAAGTCCATAGTCTGTTTCACGCATTGCATTACGGTTCAGATTTCCATATGATAAATTTTCGATTTCTTTAGGTAGGTCACTATATTCATTGCCATCTGAATCGCAGGCATTATTAGGTTCATTCTTCTGTACATCTAATTTGAAACTGTATTCAAGAAACTTTGCAACAAGGTTTAACGTTCGATTAAGTAAGAACAAGTCATCAGTTTTCAAAAACTTGTAGTTGCGAATATGGCAACCAATCGCCTTTAAGCAACTAGAAAATAACCCAAATAAATGGAAACATTACAAACTATCTGAAGATAATCCGTAGCTATAAGGAACTTATTTTTAATTCCGGAGTTGGAGATAATTTATTTTTCAAAAGAGAATAATAAAATCACACAAGATTGACTAATCATTGCTAACTCCTAGTCTGAGCCATGTTGATAGATGCAAATGACTTGGTTAGGGTCCACGCGATCATCGCAACCAATGGTTGGAGACTCTGGGCGATATGGCTCAGAATCGATCACAATCGCATGGGCGTAGTTACTCTTTGTCTTCCCTTAAACTGTGAGATTAAAATTACTTTGTAATTTTCTTTCTACGAACTGATTCTTTCTCGCTGTATTATATCCTTATATGCAATCATATTTTGTATATATTACCGCCATTGAAGTAACTGCTCTCATGAATTAGGTATGAGGTATGGCAATGGTGCACATGGGCTCCAGTATCCTGCGGGAACAAATGCCGTATGAACCAATTGTTGGTCGCCGGCTACCATGGGACTGCATCTCCTTACGATGCTCCACTGCCTTGTGGGTTAGACTATTAGGTCAAAGGCTCGGGGTGTGACCCCCTATGAAAACCACCTGCTTCGTTTTGGGCACCCGGGCAGTATCACAGCCCACACACAATGAACTGAACTATCTATGATCATGAAAACAAATTCTCTTGCTTCGACGAACATTCAAATGATTTAAATATTATTATTGCTGCTATTATTATTATTATTATTATTATTATTATTATTATTATTATTTACTACATCATCATTCACCTCCCTTCATTCCTACTCTGTCTATACTTATTTTTTTCGACTTATACAGCAGCACGTCTATGGTGGAAATCCGACTGTATCTAAACGTTCTCGAGTCACTGTCCGGTTGAAAATTGTATGTTACCACCGAATACGAGGACTGAAGCAGTTTTTCTGAAACCACGTGCACCATTCAAACTGGCTGCCTTCAACGTTCGCACATTTATGCACGTCGGACAACAGACAGAGCTGCTATGTCTTTAGAAAGTCTTAATATTGATGTCTGCTGTCTATCCGATACCGGTATTCAAGACTCCAATCACGAAAATCATGCATAAATATAGGAACAAAAATCAAACCAATGGGAGAAACAACCAAAACAAAGAAGTAAACAATGATAAATTTAAGGTCAACAAGAACCAATCAACATCGAGGTGCACAAAACAAGCTGTGAAACACATATGGAGAAATTCGAACACTTCACTATTTGAAGTTTGTGCTGATGATGTCGTTCAGAAGAACGATGAAAGCTCCTCGACCAAAACATCCAGCTCAGAGAACAAAACTCCACCAACTCTAGTGAAGTACTACAAATTCGATCTCCATCTGTCACTTCAAAAAGCTTGTTTTACGTGCGCTTATCCGGGGACCCTGTGGCATCTTCGTCTGGCCTTCCTGGCGTTGGTGTCGCACTAAGCGCTAGAGCTGAGGCAGCACTAATCGATTGGATCCCCATTAACAGTCGGTTATGTGCTGTCAGATTAGAGAGTTCCATCAAAGTGAGAAGAAATCGACGTGAGAAACGATGTGTTTTCGTCATCTCCGCCTATGCCCCGACAGATTGCAGCCCGGATGCAATCAAGGATGAGTTTTACCACCAGTTATCTGTTCTTCTCCAGAAAGTGCGTTCGACAGATATTGTAGTACTAGCCGGATAATTGAATGCTCAGGTCGGGTGTCTAAGCACAGAAGAGTCGTTTAGGTGGCCGATAGGGACTTGTTGGTCGCAGGTCAGATAACGGGGACCGTCTACTGCAACTGTGCTCAGACCACAACCTGTTTCTGGCTAGCACTAACTTTCGCCACAGTCATCACCGATGTGCCACCTGGCGTCCTCCCTCTGCATCTCAAGCCTGGACTCAGATTGATCACATCCCGATCAGCTACCGCTGGCGTGGTTGTGTACAAGACTGCTGCTCCTTTTGGAGTACTTATCTGGACTCTGATCATGCCTTAGTCTGCGCCAATCTTGCCTTACTTTTCAGTGGACAACGAAGTGACCGCCACCAACGGATTGATGTTAGCAAGCTGGTTGCAACTCCTGTTGCAAGTAAGTATCAAACCGAGCTAGCTTCTAGGCTAGCTACCACTCCACCGAAAAGTATAGATGAGCATTGGTTGCAATTGCATGACGCCATGAAAATGGCGGGTACAGTCAGTTGTGGGTTTACGAAACGTCCCGCTTATAAGCACTGGGTTTCTTCAGGCTCCTTACAACTCATTGAAGCCCGTCGGTCTACTCCGGGTGACCGTGAGTTTGACCACAAACGAAGGATGTTACGTAGTGAAATCGGGCAAAGCTTGCGTAAGGACCGAGAAGCCTGGTGGTCGAAGCGTGATAATGAGCTGCAAGCAGTAGCTGCATCTGGTAACTACCGGAAGCTCTCCCAACTCATCCGAGCCACTGGCAGCAAGAAGTCTGGTGTGAGTTAAACAATCTGCGAGGATGATGGGATGCCAATCACTAACATCCACCGACGTCTTGGACGATGGGCAGAATTTTTCGAAGGGCAGTTCAACTGGCCTGTTGCTCCGGCAACATCGGTCAGACTATCCTGCCCTCCATGGCCGGTGAAGACTGATCCACCAAACGAGGAGGAAGTCCGCAAGGAACTCCAACTCTTGAAGCGTTACAAATCACCTGGCCCAGATGACTTACCTCCGGCTCTTTTTAAAGATGGTGGTGACTTTCTGACTACGGAACTGACGACGTTGTTTACAAAAGTCTGGGAACTAGAGAGTGTACCAACGTCATGGAATGAGTCGATAGTTGTCCCTATCTTTAAAAAGGGTTCACGTCGTTCCTGTAACAACTATCGGGGGATAAGTCTACTTCCGATTGCGTCCAAGCTATTGGGTTCCATCATACTTCGTAGGTTGTTCAAAACCCGAGAAAGATTGACTCGCGAGGAGCAGGCTGGGTTTCGTTCTGGTTGAGGATGTATTGATCATATCTTCACCCTCCGCCAAATGTTAGAACACCGCCATACTTATCAAAGGCCAACAATCGTAGTGTTTCTTGACATCAGGGCTGCCTTCGATTCGTTGGATAGGACTGTTCTCTGGGATTGTCTATTGAAGAAGGATGTGCCTGAGAAGTTTATTAACATCCTAAAAGCCCTATATAAATCACCTCGGGCAGAGTGAGGGCATACAACCACCTTTCTCCATTGTTCCATTCGAGCAGTGGGGTTAGGCAGGGTTGCCCAATTTCATCATTCCTCTTCAACTTTGCCATCGATGACATTCTGGAAACAACTCTGATGGATGTACGTAATGGTGGTGTGGATCTGTTGCCTGGAGAAAGATTTCTCGACCTTGAGTATGCGGATGATATTGTCTTACTGTGCGATAATGCCCGAGCCATACAATCCGTACTTAATCAGTTGGCAATCAATGTCCGTAGGTACGGTGTATGCTTTGCACCTTCGAAGTGCAAAGTACTTCTACAAAACTGGCAGGATTCCAATCCTGTACTCACTCTGGATGGTGAGCAGATAGACGTAGTCGAGAAGTTCGTGTATCTGGGTAGCTGCATAAGTGCTGGTGGGGGTGTGAGTGATGAGATCAATGCACGTATAATGAAAGCCAGAGCGGCTTATGACAATCTGGGCCATCTTTGGCGCCTTTGTGATGTTAGTCTGACCGTAAAAGGTCGGATCTACAACGCGTTGGTGAGAGCAGTTTTGCTCTATGCATGTGAAACCTGGCCGTTAGACGACTTTCTGTTTTCGATCGTCGTTGTCTCCGAAGGATTGCTGACATTCAGTGGCAACATCATGTTAGTGATACAGAGGTTCGGCATCGTGTGTTCGGGCACAGAGACGATAATGCGATTGGTGTCACCATCTTGAAACACCGACTTCGGTGGCTTGGATATGTTCTACGAATGTCGTCCCAGAGAATTCCACGTCGTGCATTATTTGCCGACTCTGGGACTGGTTGGAGAAAGCGGAGAGGTGGTTAGTATATGGCATGGTGTCGTGGTATGAAAGAAAGCTGCAAAGGACTGGCTTGTGTCGGTCCTTCACGACTCCCTGGTTGGGGTCCGAGAGATCAGTCAGTCAGTAACAACGTAGAACTTCGTACGTACGTACATCAGTTCGAGTTGCCACACCACATTAGCACAGAGATGCCGTGGTCGATTCAAATCCCGTAGTGGTAGAGGTAATAAGATGGTGCTAAACAGTGGCTAGAAACGTTATCAGATATGGCTCAGAATAGAAGCCAGTGGCGATCCTGTTGTAACCTTTTACTTTCTTCATAAAAGTGGTAGTTTCTTCCTTAACTAAAAGATTTGTTCTGATTGTACCTTTCCGTTCCCCCATTATGACTATGATTATTACTACACTCCCTTACACCAATCTCTTCATTATTTTTTTTTTAAATTTTTTTCGTTCCTCAATTTTTTTTCTTCTTAAATTCTTATTGTTTTGTGTGGCGCATATATATTTGGCGCACTCCTGTACCAATATATATGTGTTCAAATAAATAAATAAATGAGGTATGGCAACTTAGACTGATGTATATATGTGCCTCTTTCCACGTTGTAGATGACTAACTGAATCATCACTATAAACCTGTTTTAGAACTGAACAACAACCAATTACTTTACCAATGGATTTTATAGTGTGTGTTAAATAAAAACAGAAGTCCAAATGCTCCTGAACTAGGGAACGATTAGTAAGCTGGCAATAAGACGTAACTATTTTGACAATAAACAAGCACTAACAGCTAGATGTGGTCATGACCACCTCAATAACTATCAACTGAGAATAAAGCTAATCAAAATGTACAAATGTTAAAGCTACGAATAACTGGCTCGCATTTTAACACAAATAAAAAAGTTGATAACGAAAGACTAGGTTCTGCTCCTAAAATAGTTCACGTGAAAAGAAGTGAGTTTGATAAGTGTTTGAAAATTTTTTGCTTCGTCCGTAATAGCTTAAAATGGTCATATCATTTGTAAAGCCCATAATTTAAATAAGTTGCCTAAATTTCAGCTAAATTATTTTAAGTACACACTAAATTCAGTCGCTGCTGTGAAAATTATAAATTGACGAAATAAACTATCACTCTGCAACTCATCCCTACCCTTTAAATGCAGTGAGAAGTACAGTTTGTATAAAAGCTTTCTTGAATCGAAGCTTCCAGAAGATTTTTCGTAAGGAAATGACATCCTTATGAACAGAATATTCACAAAAATAAACATGATAGAATTTCATAAAAGACTGGATGAAATTAATTTGTAGTCTACTCACTCATCAATCAAAGAAAACCTGATTGTTAGGCACAGCTTTCGTTCATCGTATCAGAATGTGACATATCACTGTGTCAATATTACAATCGCAAGTTCAGATGCTATTATGATAGTGTCAGCAGTTACATCTATTTTAATATATTTGGTTTCAATTCGTTTTCTGCTAAAATCAGGCCTCATATAAAACTTACCTGTAGTTATAGGACTGGTATATATTTCCTTGATTCAGGTTACACATAAATTTAACAACTTAAACGACTGAATTTGGTAAGAAGTACGAATCAGACATACGATCATTAAAGTAGGGGAGTATTAAGTCACTAAACAAGGTAATGACAAAAAAAATAATTGATTCTATAAACGACGTTTATATCTTTCTCTAAAAAATTAAGTATGACTCACCAAGACAAACGATAGCCTTTAATATCATACTGAAGTTTTGTTAGTCGACGACACGGTGGCTTAAAAACGATTTTCCTCCACAAAACAGGAGATTGAAACACATTATACCACTTTCTACACACACGAGCAGCTCGTGAACGTTCATTCCAATTCAAATAAATAAAAATTTGCTCTAGGATTGAATCCGGTATATTTATCATTAATTAGGTTAAGCTTTATTTTTTCTTCAGAAAACAAAACTAAAACAGCCAACAAAAAGTCCGACTTGGCCAAAAGTTTTGGACAATTAGTATTTGCGAAGAGTACCGCTGAAGTTCAATGACATTACAAAGGTGTTACGACAACTGTATGTTATCAATAAATTGGATGTAAATGAAAAGAAATAAATACAAAACTCAGGAAATTATTAACGCTTGAAACATTTAGATGGAACCTCAAAGTAAATTGTATACTAAAACATGTCACACAAATCTCTTTCATAAAAATCGAAATGAATCGAAAACAAGTACCCTCATTTATACCTTACAAACTAAGTACTATGTCAAAATCACTTGTCCAGTGATTCATAAAATATATTTGATACATAATTTTTACACACCTAAATTACTGAATAGCTATTTGCCCATAAAATGGAAATTTCACAAACAGACTAAAAGCTAATAGAGAATAGTAGCCGAATTCAAGGACATAGAGAAAAGATCTCTGAAAAAAATTACATGAAATATACATGACTGTAATAGCTAAACACATATCACTATACCCTTGTGAAGCAAAATACCATGTTATTCGGCCATAATTAACGTAGAGTCGGCATAAACGTGTACTGGACCAAAACGAACACATTAGCACAATGAAATAAAAGTAACAAGATGAATAACTAAAAACTCGAAGCAATCCAGTAGAAATTGTAATTATAAGAACTAAGCATTGGAAATATGATTCGGGATGACAAGAGGAAAGTATAGGCATGAGATGCTGGAAAACAAAGTCCAGAAGAAGACAGAGAATCCATATACTTGAGCTATCTTGACATATTCCAAGTCATGCTATTTAGCACCTTTAATCAATCATCGACGTTGTCGCGCGGGCCGCAACCAGAAACTATCTGACTAATTGACGTCTTTAGAACTTGCAAATTTGCAAATGAGCTTAGGATCACTTTTAATGTGAAAACAGCAAATCCCGTAAAAACAAGTAGCGGTTTTTACCAACCAATTTGCCACGACAGATTGCTCGGATATATTATCACTGTATATAGACAGTTCAAAAAGATTGACAACAATTGGCTTAAATTCACTAACAGAGCTTGAAAAGCATTCATTCAGTGATTTACATATTCAATCTTCCAGACATCTTTCATTGCAACTTCTACAATAAGTCCTTTGTTTATCTGGCAAATAGTGTTATACATTGTGTTGCGCCATTTTCTTCACAGTCGGCTATAAACTGAGTCATGGAACAGGAAATAATGCAGTTGACTGATGTCAGCATAGAGAAAAATGTTTCCTTACAGCAACTGATAGGAGTGTCAGTGCTTCCTGTCAACCGAAAAACGATGCAAAACAGATTAGTGGGACATGGAAGTCACTTATGGTATTTAGACAGCGAAAGTTTTAAATCATACTGGTGCAATTTTTTTCACTCGATGTCCAGAGTGGACAAATAAACTTTAGTAGCCTTTAATTCTATCCCACAATTACCTATGGGCAATAGTAAACCGTAATCGTAAGACCACTACTCACTGACTTATAGTCACAACTAAACGGTTTTGGACGTTACATGCATTGGTGAGATTTTCCCCAGTTAGATACGACTATATTTACCACGATCTACGAAACGCTAGAGAGTTATAAGTCAGAAAACTGTGTACGGGCAGTAAGTACCCGTGGTGAGACTACAGTTTATGGGTGACCTGTAAAGATAACCCATAAACCGTCGATTGACCGGCGTTAGTGACCTTGAGTGTCCACCTAATACCTAGGACCGAATAAATGTTAAAAACCAGCATGAGGAATGAGAATTATGATTTTCACTTGATGGTTAAGGTTCAGAATTAGATTTTGCGTTTTCATCATGAAGTGACATCAGTTATAACGCAAAAAAATCTATTTAGCCTAATGAATGAGTGACTGATCCAAACTAAATAGCAGTTGAAGAAGTTGAGCGAAGTCTACCAACTCGTGACCTGGTCGATATTCAGTGGTCTAACTGTCGGATGATTTAGCTACGGCTTAGTGAAATTTTACTGGCCCAGCAAGGGAAATGATTTTGACCGCGACTGTATTCGCATGTACATCACCGACCACCTAAGAAATGCAGAATTTTGAGATGAACTGCGGCGGAAACATGTCTTGATTATAACATCACAAACAACAAAATCAATTTATTAAGCTAGCTTCTACCTTGTGCTAACAGTAACGCAATCGAAGAATCTGCCGCCCACCCAAAAAAAAGTAAAAAATCTCTCAAATTAAAATAAAGCAGATCATTTAAGAACTGCCGTCTCAGTTATCTTGTTGCAGGAGTGGCACGGAATTATTTTATTTTCATCGGTATTGTGCAGACTTTTTCAGAGTGCTTTTATCAACTAGTGGTAGTTCTCGTTTATTTATTCTCAGTTTGTTTTTGCATGACAGTGGACTATTTCATTTTACTTCAGTCAGTCACTTCAGGATTTCCTATATGTGTTTGTTGCTACGATCTTTTTAGTCGCACTAATGCATGTTTCAAGGTGTGCTTACCTTACACCTGTCTGCTATCCGTACAATACTGTGATTTTTAAACTTTCGAATTATTAGAAAACTAACTTACTATATACTCACCATTTTTTGCTCGTTTTTCTACCTAAAACTCACACTGATTCCTCTTCGTCAGTCTCACGAATCGACGTATAAAATATTCACACTGTAACACTTTCGTAATCCACTTTTATTATTACATCAAATTAACGTAGTCGGGTGATCTTATCCGCAACGCAACCATGTAAACTTAATGTACCGGTCGTCTGTGCGTTCAAGTAACCACAGATTTTGACATTTCATAATGTATTTTTAATTAAATAACTAGATTATATAGCTAATTTTGATCTTTTTTTATATTTTTATTCGCCACGTTTAACTGCGTTACACTGCACGTCCATTGCGTGCTGGGATGATATCTCAAGTCATAGTGAGTTTATTCACATAGTTGATTGTTTCCAGATAGACAGTCAGTGCATGATTTTACTGTAGAAAGGTTTATTGTACTATAAACTATGTTTTTATGAACAACTGCCTGTTGTTTACAGTCGGAAAGCAATATATAAATTATTTGTCTTCTGTTCGGTAAGTTCAATTGGCCTATATTTCGTGTTTTTGTTTTATCGTCTTAATTATGTCCATTTAACTACTTTAAGCAATATGCCTGTGCAAATGAAACAATAACTATGACACTTGCTTAGTTTAGTATTCTTGGTTGTCGTATAATTCAGTTTAGTTGAAAGAATTATGGTATAGTGCTTGAAGTCTGTAACGAAACAGATCAGCCTAGTAAGTAGAGTTGCCTGTTTCTGATGAGTATACTGGTTCAAATCAGTCTGATTAAAAATAGAAAAAAAGTGCTTTTGGTACTGTTGCTGTCATACATTATAAGAGAGCGATAAGTATGTTTGGTGTTTATTTCTAGATTGTACATCTATCACTGACCATATTTCATGATCACTGTCATTAAACAATTTCCCCAGCAATAACATCGGTAGCAGGATAGCTAAGTATCTGAGCTTTTATTTGCCCGTAGAAGAGCAGTATACAGTCTTAGAAGATGAGTGTTCTGTATTTCAATTAAATGCAGTTGGCTGTGGACAAATGTTAAGAATCTTTTTGACAACTAGGACTTTTAGTTCATCAAACACTAACTCTGCTTGTATGTCTCCCTGTTAAACTAGATGCAGATACATGGTAATACTTAAATGAGAGCAAAATAATAAAAGCATTGAGATACGGTATTAAGTCCATGTTATGCTTTGCACAATAAATAGCTGACCTGACCTAATATTCATGAACTAAAGGTAAATCACAACTGCATAAATTCTTTGCTAAAATACATGTAATTTGGTTATTTATCTATTCCACATTTCTGACTAAATTCAATACTGTTTTCTCATTTAGAATGCAACAGGACTGAGTCTTCACAGATGTTAAGAACTGTTTCGCCCTTAGAACTATGGCCCTATGGATCTGTTTACGGGAGACCCAACTAACAGTAGATTATAAAAAGGATGCTGGATGTCCATTTTAATCTCACAACCACTTCCAGTACTTTTTGAGTTACTTCTTTTACCCTTTCGTTTGGAAAAAACAACAAAAACTGCAGCTTAACATTACAAATGCAACTTTTAGACTGGAACTTGGTATAAACCTTTGTTTCATATTCGATTCTTAATGAAAGTTCTCGAATAAATTTTTGAATTTAATGCTACTTTGTTTTATCTACTTAATCGTTGCAAGAAACTTGTGATAATCGAGCCTCTCATCACCTAATTCATGTGTTCAGGCTTCCGTGTCTATTAGCAGGGGATCACCAAAACCTCCAAGCAGGAACCTAGGTATGTTAACATTAAAAGATCCAGTCGCCTCCCAAATGACTCCTGGGAAGTCGCTTGGACTAGTTCGGGGGGCAGCGAATTCCAGCATTCAACAACTCTTAAGGAGTAGAAGTTGCGTCTACAGTCCATTCTGCTATGTCGTGTCTCTAGTTTCTGGGACTAAGCTCAAATAGGTGTTTAAGAAAATGTCCAGAAGTGTTAAGGATCCTGTAAGTAAATAGGTCACCTCTAAGACGTCTATACTTTAATGAGTAGAGGTTAAGTGATTGGAGGCGCTCTTCATAAGGTGATTTGGTGCATATCTCCGTCACTTTCTTAGGAAGCCTACAGGCTCGGGTCCTTTCACAACTTATTCTAGCCACCATGAGTTGCCACGAAAACTGATGGATGGACACGCGTTACACATCCTAACCGTCCCTGCATCTAATCTCATAGCTCCTTATTCAAATGTCATATGATAGGCAAGTAATGCTTCTACCGACACTAATGGAACACGAGTAATTCAAAGGCACCCTGTATGGTACTTTACATTGGTCTACGCACTCACTTAGCTCTTTAGTGGGAATATTACTACAGTCCTGCTAAAAAACCCATGAACCCCCCTACCACCATCAAAACAATAAGTCTGTATTTGCTGCATATAGCAATTTTATTTTTCAGAAGATATAACAGTAAGAATTGGAGTAAAATAACAATATACAACAGATGCACGTGGTACATGTCTTCATCGATCATCTGAAATAGAGAATACGGATATTAGCTTAACATGCTTATTTAGAAAGACTAGTGTTTACTTTGAACTTACTGTGTGAGAAAGTTATACTGGAACTGTGAATAATGTAGGAATCTAGTCTCCCAGGGCGTACGAAGCACTCAAACTGGAAGACAGTTGTCACAAATTAATTCGAATATGAAGTTGAGAATTTGCAAGTACTTTTCATCGTAAAGGTGAACATATTAGATAACGGTTGACATCATACCGTAAAAATAACAAATTTGCGAGTGGTGAATTATGGTCTATAAAAAGCTGAGCTTAATAAAAAAAAAAAAAAAAAAAAAAAAAAAAAAAAAAAAAAAAAAAAAAAAAAAAAAAAAAAAAAAAAAAAAAAAAAAAAAAAAAAAACAGATTTCCGGTTTTTCAATGTTAAGCTTGCTTTAACGCACTACGTCATGCGTACAACCCCTCCATTACTGCTATGTGGCATATTTTTTCATAACAAACCCTCTGCAATAGATTGGTAGCATCTGTGAATTTGTCTATGGTTGTCGGAAGCCTGAGTACTTTCGAAAACAATACTGACATCCCCTACGGCTAGGCACTAAGTATTAGTTTGACTCATTGGTGGGATATTGTTGTCCGCAATACTGAAGAAAATTAAAAACCGGAAATTGTTTCCTTTTATTTTGCCGATAACATCATAAAGGACAGTTAGGAATGAACATGCGGACAGTCAGTCACAGGACGCAGCAACAGTTATTTCAGCTAAGAAAAAACGAACTTCGGCTTTTGATATCTTGAAAACAAGTCGAAACTAAACCGATTTTCATTTTAAAACATAAGACTAACCAACTTGACTGAAGAAATACATTGATTAGAGTAGAAGCAGCAAAAACCCAAAAAACAATGCTGATTCGAAGTAAATTTCACACCAACATGTAAAACCCTACACTAACTGCGGCATCTTAGCACATTGAAACATTAATTACACAGCTACACAAAAGAAATAGCTAAAAGAAGCACAGAACGAAGAAAGCCGGCCGCCATTACGTACAAAGATGGCGAATATAATAATTCCCGCCACATTCTGATTGGTTGCTAAGCTGAAAGGCACATTTACGAAATTGAGTTGCGTTTAATTGCAGCCACGTAGTCAGTCAACGAAAGTGTACAAGGATAAATGATTTACAGTTTATGTTATTACCGCTCGTCTTTCATCCATTACGTCAGTTAACTGGTGTATTCACGACACACAGTGTAGATTTCTTAAAAATGAGATAGCACCATAACAAGACAAAATCTCTTCTGGCAGCAAATTATGTAAAAATTCTAAGATGGACGCGAAATAATGCCAAACACTCATTGCTCCCTTATTTTATTGCTTTCAAATAGTCTTAGATATATATACTAGGACAAACCATCACTAAGGTGTGGGCTATAGAAACCTCTAAATAACCAACAGCCCACGATGTTGTGGCTTCGAGATCCTATACGGTCAATGAAATATTACTGGGCAACAATCAAACCACCCATCAAGATAAAACATTTAGATTTCGAACGACAACGTGTCGAAACTGTCAAGGTCAAATATGACCGCGGATTGATTACCCGCAATCCATAGACATGACAATGCAACAGAACTTTGTATTCACCTAGCCTGTTTTTACTAATGCATTTCATCCGTAATGTCACAGTAGTTATATGCATTCATCAGAGAATTCATAGTGTATGAAGACCAAAACGAAAGCAGTCTGCGTAACGTACTAACCGCTAGGAAAGACTTCGACACAAGCTAGTAGGTCACATCGATGTTGCTCAACTCGAGTAGACCGTTATCATCCACATACACATGTCAAAAAATAAGTGAACTAAGCTGACTAGCTGGACGTGTCCAGAGAAATCAATATTCAATACCTGTGGAACCATTTATATGAGGGGTTTATTTAACAAGCACATCTGCTACACTTGACAAGCCATACATATAAGTTAGAAGATTTTCCTCCTGAAATATTGCACAATGGAAAAGATCTAGATGTCATGATCCTGAATAGTACAAAGTCTTTTGCTGAATGTGGTAAACATGCCCAAAGGTAGACCTTGTTCTAGCAGTCTTAGGGCTTACGTTTGATAAGCCCGA